CACCATCTCTCGTTGTGGGCAAGTGTCTCAGGAGAGTGACTGCAGCCTGAAGTCAGGCTCACCTCCCTGAACACCTTGCCTCTCTGTCCTGGCTCCTCTTTGATGCCTTCCGTGGATGACTTGAGTATGTTGTTGGCTTTCCAGTGAGAGAGCTGGCCTACAATTTTCTGCTCCTGCCTTTTTTCCCAAACTTGCATTTTGTTGTCCCTGGGGAACCCCAAATCACAGACCACCTAGTACAGCATTGCATATGCCCGGCTTAGATGTTAGATGTTCCCCAGAGGCTCATGTATCAAAGGCTTGGTGCCAAGCCTGGCACCATTGAGAGGTTTTGGAACCTTTAATAGGTGGGGCCTGATGGGAGGTCCTTAGGTTATTGGGTGTGTGCCCTTAAAGGGGATTGTAGGACCTGTCCTCTTCTTCTTTCTCTTTGCTTTCTGGCCATGAGGTGAGAGGCCTTGCTCCACCACACGTTCCTGCCATGGTGTACTTTCTCACCACAAGCCCAAAACAATGGTGCCAATCAGTCATGGACTGGAACCTCCAAAACTGTGAGCCAAAAGAAAGCTTTTCTCTTCATAGGTTGATTATCTCAGGTATTTCATTATAGTGACTGACTAACACACAGCTGGCTAACACAGTGTTGCCTCTTCCCAGTCATGTGATCTTGGTGAAGCCCCTCTCTGGGCCTCAGTTTTCTCATAGCACTTTCCTCACTGGGTTAAATAAACTAATCCATACCACGTGTTCAGAGTAGTGGGTACCAGGCATGGGGTAAGCACTTGTTTACATATCAGCTGTTAGCATTCAGCAAATACATGTGAAGTAAGCACTTTGTCTGTGCTAGGCACTGGATATTTACAGTGGTGAAGAAGACAAATACAGTCCCTCTGCCAACATACTCAGGAGAACACTCTGTATGAGCTTTGCAGAGAGGTGTGTGCTGTGGAGAGAACAGAAGAGGCCACAGAGCAGGGTGTTTTGTCCAGGCCTTGTGGGAAGGGCTTAGATAGGTCCAGGGTATATAACGAGGAGATAGCAAATGACAGAGAGTGACCAGGCAGCCACTTAAGGCCAGGTGGTCCACAAAACTTCTGCGATTGCTACACAACAAGCCAGACCTGAGTGACAAGAAGCAAGTGTGCTGAGAATGAGGGGAAGGTGCAGGTTACGCTGAGGGAGCAATGAGAGCACGTTCCCTGGATTCGGCCTTGGAGGGACAGCAAGCAGGTCAACCTGTCCCAACTATAATGAGTTACTGCTTGGGATCCAGGAGGCGGGCAGGGCTGGGATCACAGAGGCTCTGACAGGATGAGGGTGGGAGTTTATTCTAAGTGTACTGGGAGCTTTGGAGATGTTTTGTTTTGGGACAGGATCTCCCTTTATAGCCCAAGGTGGCCTAGAACTCATGATCCATCTACCTTAGCTTCCTGAGTGCTGCGATTATAGTGTGCACCACCATGCCCCACTTGCTTTGGGGAATCTTATGCTTGAGAATGACAGTATTGGATGGCAGCAAGATCACGCTGGGTGTTGGATAGAGAATAGGCTTTAAGAGAGGATAGTGCAGTATTGTCATCTAGAGGCGACGGTGCCTTAGAACAGAGATAGCAGAGTGGACAGGGGTTGGTGGTTGGAGTCAAGGTGATGGGTTGGACTGAGAGGGCAAGAGAGAGGTCCATGAGCATCTGGGATTGGGCCCGTTTAATTGTGCCTCTTTATAGAGCAGGGGAAGACCAAAATGTGCATCCTGAATATATGAATTTTGAGACTCTTCTTTGGTGACCTGGCTATGTGAGTGTGGCATTCATGGAGGGGGGCAGGAGGGACCCTTAGTTTTGAAAGTCACCAGATGACAGTCAAGCCAGGGACCTGGGTAATCTTTCCTAGGGACAGTGTCTAGGAAGAAAGAATAGAGGCTCAGGGTGTGCCTGGGTGGTATAGCTTGTGGAGGTCAGTGGGAGGAGCAGGAGCCAGAAAGAGCCTTGGAAGGCATATCTGTTCCTGGCCCCTTCCTGTCCATCTCTCTCTGCTTCCGTATGCCAAGAAGTGAGCAGCTCTGCTCCATCATTCCCCTCTGCCATGATGCTCTGTCTTTTCATGGCCCAGAAACAGCAGAGACAACAGGGAAGTAGAACCATGGTTCTCAAAGTATAGCCTTGAGACCACAGCCACTGTCCTCTGGCACATACAGAGATGAAGTTTAGTTCCTAGTCCTAATCTGTTGCCTCGGAGACTGCAGGATGGGCCCAGTGGTCAGAGCTTTTATTTTTTTCTTTTTAGAAAAAGAGTCTTGCTATGTAGACCAAGCTGGCTTGGAACTGGTGATCCTCCTGCTTCTACCTCTGCAGTGCTGAGATTATAGGTGTGTACCACCATGCACGGCTACTGGTCAGTGCTTTAACAAGCCCTCCATGTGGCAGTAAAGCAGTTTGGGGATGAGAAGAGGGTGTATTTTGGAAGGCAAGAGGAGAAATCTTTCAAGAAGGAGAGGCAGCTGAAAGTTCCACAGAGGTGACAATAGGGGCCTGGCCATGGAACTTGTAACATGGAGGTCCTTGTTGGCTGTAACAAGAGTGATCTTGTGGAGTGTTGGGGGTAGCAACCTGACGGGACCTGGCTGAGGTGTGAGTGAGAAAGGAAGGAGATGGCAACAAAGACCAGGAGGAGTTAACACAGCAGGCTTGGGCTGTCCAGATCTCACATAGGCCAGAGAGGCCCGGGCCTTGACCAGCATCTGAGAGAACCCTCCTTCGACCCCTTCCTTCTAAGCCCTCGGGCCATACTTCCTGATGAGATGATCTTTGACTTCATGACTGACCCCCAGTACAGACCCTGCATCCCAAGGCTCAGGGGAATGTCCCTGATTGGCAGCTCTCTGCCAGGGGGTCACTCATCCTTGCTGGGAGAAGGAAGCACTGTCCCCAGGACTCTGGGAGGGGACAGCTGGAAGCTTGCTCCCGGTCGCTCCTGGACTCTACCCTTAGCTGATTTTCGTCTGTAGCCTTTTGATGCAATAAACTACAGCCATGAATATAACAGCTTTTCTCAGTTCTGTGTGTCCTTCAGTGAGTCACCAAACCTGAGGGTGGTCTTGGGGACCCTTGACACACCTGCTGTGCAAGAAGGTTTGTAATGAAGGAGCACAGACAAGGGCGATCGTCAGAGGAAGACAGTGGCTCAAGGCAACGTTGTGGTTTGTGTACGACGTGTGTCTCCAAGAGCTTCGTGTGTTGACGGCTTGGTTCCCAACTGGCAGTGCTATTCAGAGATGATTGGATGGTGAAGACATTAACTTCTTCCGTGGACTAATCCATTGGTGAGTTCATACTGAATGGGTTATTAGGAGGCGGGGTGTGGTTGGAGGCATCAGGTCACTGAGGACATGATTTTGAAGGTATACCTTGCCCTAGCTATTTCCTTTCTGGCTCTCTCTGCCTCCTGACCACCATGAGGTGATCAGCTCTATCCACCACTCCCCTCTGCCATGATGCTCTGCCTCACCATGGCCCAGAAACAACAGAGCCAGTCGACCATGGATGGAAAGCTCTGCAACCTTGAGCCAAAAGAAATCCTCCCTCCTTTAAAATGTTTCTCTCAGATATCTGCCCCAGCAACAAAAAGCTAACAGGGCAGGGATCTTGTTTAAGGGAGGGGACACTTGGGTGGACCTGCCTGACTAGGGTAGACAAGGAAGGGGTCTGGGTCCAAGCAGGACATAGTGCCTGTGAGGGAAGCAGGGACAGTTCATTCAGAGTGACAGGAAGATGCCAAGAATGTGGGCCCAGCACAGGCTCAAGGGCAGACCTGGTGACAGAGTGTGGAGGGAAGCCTGGCCCGGTCATTTCTGTTCCATGAACTGGGAAGCTGGGTCACCCTCCAGCATTCAGGGCTGAGGGTTGAGGGCTGTAGATCTGGGAACAGAGAGGATATGACATAGCCATTTTGGGGAGCAAGACCTCAAAGAAAGAAAATGTGCTAAGATTGCAGGGCAAGGGGAAACGAACCTCACCTTGGATATATCTGGCCATGATTTCTAGGGAGAGTTGATGTCAGGAGAACCCTGTGCTTTTCTGCAACAGCCTTTAGCTGCCCAGGTGCTGGTATGAAGCAGGTGGAAGGATTTCCCCCAGTGGTGGGACACTGCCAGCTCAGTGGGACAGAGGGAGAGAGGGTATGTGCAAGTAAAGCGGTGCTGGAGGATAAAAAGGTGGGTGGGCCTGCAGCTCTGATTTCAAGGTGTATCTGCCTTTGGCTCAGTGGGAAGTCATTTTTATTTTAAAACAAATCTGGATTCATTTTGGTGTAGAATGAAAAAAGCACAAGAACTTCTCAGCAGACTGCAAATGTGGCTCTCCTGCTTGACGTGCCTCTCCCGGCTGGACCTCCTGGTCCACCAGGGGTGAATTTACCCTCTTTTGGGAATTTGAGAAGCTTTGGAAAAGTCTTGGAAGACTTGTCCTGCTGGTATGACTCTGGATACCTGATTTTTCACACGTCACCTAAGGACAAAGCTCAGCCAAGAAGAGTGACAATCTTTATCAAGTGCCCCTGAGACAGCATGGATCTAGGGACTAGACGGAGACTCTGAGGACATGGGGTAAGTACTGGGGGTTGGGTAGGGCTGACAGTGGTCTAAGAAGCGTGCCAGAGGAACCTGGGCAGGCTGTAGGGAGGGGAGTGCCTGCAATACGTCATGGGTCCTTCCTTCTCGCTTCCCCATCTCCCCAGGGCCCAGTGGGATGCAGCACTCTGGGGGTCCAGGCAGGTGACTCAGGCAGATTGAGTCTTAGGAGCGCGGCAGGGACCTGGATCCAAGAACTAGGGCACAGGTGGGGAAGGGGTGTTCGGAATGAGGCCAAAGCCCAGTTATGGAACTGGGCCACTTTCCATGTGGGACCTGGATCTTCACAGTGGTCTTGGCCAGTCCTGGGAAACAGTGTGTCTTGAGCCTGGCACCTGATAGAACCAGTCAGGATGAGGCACAGTTAGGTGCCAGTCTAGCCACAGGCACTGCCCTGTCCAGTACCCAAGGTACACACCCACATCAAAAAGCCTCTGAGTAAACCATGTTTATTTTGAACATTCAAATTTACAAAGACAAAAAGGTAACAAAAACCATGACACAGATCTCATACACACACACACACACACACACGCACACGCACACACATTGCATCTCATGTCACTATGTACAAAAGAGGGTGAAGGTAGGGGCAGGGGAGGTTAGAAGGGGTGGTCAGTAGGGGGCACTAATTTCACAGTGTCCGACGACTTGACATGCTGTCTGCTCAGCCTGGGCCATGAGGCCCACCCCATAGGAGTAGGGGACAGGTGAGGTTTGGGGTGACAAGTTGTAATAAAGGGGTGAGGGGACTGATCCATTTCTAGGAGGGGCCATCTCAGTTTGCTCAGGCCAAGGGTGCTGGACCTGTAGGAGGGACCCAGTTCTGAAGGAGGGGGCCACTGTGTTGTGGAGAAGACTACAAGTGGTTACAAGGTGGCTCCTGAGTCTCAGTGGAGCGGCCTCATGGGTCACTCACCCTCCCAGCTGGGTCTCAGCTTCATCTGTAAAGCAAGGGCTGAACCTGCCATCTCAGGTCATGCACAACTGTAGCAAGGGGATATGTCCCTTAGGGCGTGGGGGTACCATATGCCATAAAGGTGGGAAAGTCTGGCAGAGAACAGCTGTGAAGCACCTGACACAGGGCTGGGCTCAAAGTGGGAGTGTGAGGAAGAGCCAAACCCACCCTTGCCTGCCGGGACTCCTTCTGGAAACTGCAGCCCAGGTAGAGGAGGCTGAGGCTGGGGCATAGGTGCGAGACCCCTCCCACTACCTCTCCAAGGGCACTGGCCCTGGAGCCCATCCGTCCTGAACCTCTGTTCCTCCTGCCACTCTGAATGAGGGTGGGCACATCTCTCCAGGCTGAAACACAACCGGAGCGATGCGCCCAATCCAGAGTGGGGTTACTGGTTTCCTCAGGCTGATGGGTGGGCCATGGATGCAACCTGCTATGGACTGAAATCTGTACCCCATCACCGGCTGGCTGATGGACACCAGGCAGGTTGCATCTCCTCTCTGAGCCCTGGCTTCCCCCCTATATCACGGTGCTAAGAATAGTCCTAACTCATAATCACGAGGATAAACCAGATGTGCCCACAGTGTTCAGCTCAGTGCCGCATGCCCTGAAGAGCCCTAACAAACAGAGGACCACCCTCGTCAGCAGCCAGGGGCAGCTAAGGGTCACAGCTGAGCACCACGCTCGGCTCCTCTTTCCCTGTCTTCTTGGTCATGCCTGGGAACAGCAGAAGCCATCAAAACTGGAGTCTAAACAGAAGGTGCTCGATAAATTTTCATAGAACAATAAGTAGCTGAGGGAGGGGTGGGGACTTTGGGAATCGGGAGCCAGGCCCTTCCCCAGCGATCTACACTCAGAGCCACACTCTAATGTCTCCATTTGTTCTGTTCCCTCGGGAGGGCCCACCAGGTTATCTTGGCACAGGAAAGAAACTAAGACATCAAATCTCTCATCACCAAAGTGACAAAGCACAAAGGAGTTGGAGTGACATGTCTGGGTGGGCTCAGGTGACCAGGGAGTTTCTGTCACCTCTCTCATAAGACCCTATCCTTCCAAAGCCTCCATGAAAGCTACCTCTTCCCAAACAATGGCAAGCACCTGATGATGCTCAAGGTCCCTGAAGTCTAAGTTCTGAATCCTGCTGTCACCTGGCAACAGCTTGTGTCATCATGTTGAGACATTTGACCCAGCACCGGGGCTGATATCATTGGCCGTTACCGGGCAACCGGATCTCAGCAGGGCCAGCTGAAGCTGCCATGGCTCTGTCTTCCAGGGGAGGTGCTGAGCAATCTATTTGTGCTCTCGAAATGGAAACAGGGATATCAGGGCCGGAGGGAACAAGTCTTGGACACACTTCCTGGCACAGGGCTCTACAGCCTGCCGCTCTTGCGTCATGTCTCAGGCTGAGTGGCCGTGGGAAGCAGAGATGGGAACAAAAAGGGGGTCAGAGGCACTCATGCCCACTGGAGTCAGGTAGCCAGTTATTGCTCAGACACCTGGGAGGTGCCTGGCCAAGGAAGAACACCTGCGCCCTCAACTATGCATTCTGCCTATGCTCAGGGGCCCCCCTACACTCATGGGGGTGCCAAGATATTTGGGTGTTGCATACAGATGTCTCAGTGCCGTGTTGGAAAGCATTCTGGCTTCTCAAATGTCCACCCCCATTGGCGTAGCTTGAACTCAAAGACCCATAAGGGCAGGCAGGAGAGCTTGGAGGGAGAACACTGAAGAAGAGTCAAGTCCTGGGTTGTAGTTCTGGGCCTGCCCCATTGTGCTGTTTGACTGTGTGCAAGTTACTTGCCCTCTCTGATCATTTCCTTATCTCTCCCAAGCAAGAGGTCAGACTGGATGGTTTTTCTCAGTTCTGGCATTCTTCCACTCTCTTGGGGGAACTGGTGAGGACTCAAGGGTGGGGACCAGGAAGCCACTAGTCCTTTGAGACACTCTCAGATAGGCAAGGTGCCAGGCTGGGGGGATCCAGAGGGAGCTCATGTTCATAAGCCATATGTGAGTCTGGTCTGCTTTGAACTTTGCCTTTGACCCTGATCCTTGATGACAACTGCTGATCCTAACCCCTTCCTAGCCTGATCTCATCTGCTATCCAGTTCCAGGACCTGCCCCTGCTAAGCCCCTGGGTCTTCAGGTTTCCCCCACTCCATCTACCTGGGATCATCTTGTTCCATCTGGAGAGTCTCAGAAAAGACCAGTACAAAGGGCCTCACCTCACAGAGGAGGAAAGTCAGGCCCAGCGAGGGCAGGCACTTACTGAAGGCCACACAACATGGCTGGTTAGGAACCCGGTGCTCTCCTCTCTCACCCAGTGCCTTGCCTCTCTCACCCTCTCAGCTTTTTTCCTTCCTCCCAGGGCCATGCAGAGGGGGGTGGTAATGTGGTTCTGCCAGCAGCCAGGTGCCTTGGATTCATACTGCCTCTGCCTTGCCTGCTCCCAGCCCAGGCTGAAGTGGCACAGTGGGGGAGGGGAGACCATGCCAGTGAGCACAGCTGCCAGGGGCACAAGGGGTGCTACAGCCCTTTGGCCTCTGGGGGTCTTGATCCCTAGCCTTCTAGGCTGGAGATGGAAAGGGAATGTTCTGGAAGCTGAGGTGGGACTGGCCTGGGCATGGAATCAACAATCAAAACTGTACACAAAGAAACAGGGAAGAGGAAAAAGGAGGGCAAGGGTAGGTGGTTCCATCGTGACCCTGCTGCCCTTGACTGACAGCTGGAGGGAAGATGGAGGAGGTGTCTGACCTCCTATGTCTCCATCATCCCCTTCTACAGCCTGTTGTGGGCCTGAGGGGAAGGGACCAAGCCTGATGGGGGACATGGGGACCAAAGGCCGCCCCTGTGGGGGATGCGTGGGATTAGCAGGATCAGACAGGACTGATGGGACAGGGTGGAGCAGGGGAGAGGCGGGTCCAGTGCAATGCCAGGAGCGTGGGCAGAGCCTAGACTTGCCTCAGGCTCAACCTATGGACCTGAGATGCTCGTCCCCATCCAGGCGGCCAAGGGGACACCCATCTCAAGGCAGGGTGTACTAGAGGTGTGGGTACAGCTGAGGGGAAATGGGACATGGTCAGGAGGAAAGGCCAGTGTGTGGACAGGCTTAGGAGGGACAGTGTCCCCCTCAAGATCAGGAAGAGAAGGGCTCAGGACAAGATGGCCCCTCATACTTTGGCCCTCTCCTTGCAGATGTCAAAGGGGGCCTTTGTGGCGCCGCCGAAGGCCTCCACCAGCTTGTCTTCCCAGGGGAGGACATTGCCCAGCAGCGGCCCAGTACAGTTGGCAATGCCTAGGACCTGGGCAGGTGTCAGGGCATGGTCCCACAAGTTAAACTGGGCAATGTCACCAACGAAGGCCTGGGTGGCATCAAATCGGCCCCCCAGGGTATCCTGGACCAAGAGAACAGCAAAGAAAAGAGAGAGACATGGAGGAAGCAAAAATGACAGCAGGCTGCCTCAGAGGCAGGCCCCTGTCCCTGCCAAAGCCCTCCCAAAAGGTTCCAGCCCCGCAAGGGTCCATCGCCTATGCCAGGTCTCTGCACCCCTGGCCCACCTGCCTGTCTGCAGTGTGCTAGGATAGGACTGCTACCTGTCCCATTTCCCCCTGGGTGGCCGGGAATTGACTGGGCTTCCATCCAGCCCCCAGCCTGGACCGTACCTGTTCCTGACCCAGGATGAGGATCCCATGGGGCTTGATGGGGTGCCAGGCCGCCAGGTTCTCGCCAGAGCCCCGCAGCTCCCCGTCCTGGTAGGCGGACCACAGGCCATCCCTTGTGGTCCAGGCGATGCAGATGTGGTGCCAGTTGCTGTCCTTCAGGCTCAGGGGCAGCTGTGCCACCTGGACACAGGTCCCCCAACCCCATGTCAGAAGTGCCAGAAGGCTCAAGACTGGAGCTGTGTGTGTGTGGGGGAGCCCTGTATCTTTGGTATCTTTGCTCCCAGGGCCGGGCCCTCCCTCCCTTCATACCAGTGTCATCTCATCTTCCCTCGTCTCCCCTCCCCTCGTCTCCCCTCCCAACCTAACCAAGTGACTTCCTTCAGGTCAGCTTTGGGACTGGCCACCTTTGGTTATCAGTATTTATAAACCTACAAGTTCACATGGGGTAGGAGCAGCAGCTCACAGGCCTACGTCCCCCCACAACTCACATGGTTCCCAGCACACAGTGGGGCTCAAGAAACCTAGAAGTGACCAGATGAGCCTGGGACTAGGGCTGGGCATCAGTGTCTGCCCTGGTGCTGGTACCAACCCCCTGTGTAACACTGGGGAGGCTGTTCTTTCCTCCCTGGACCTGGATTTCCTCATCTGCAATGTGGAGAAGTCCCACAAGGAAGGGCAGATTCACAGCCACTGCCTCTTCCTCCACCCACACCAGACACAGCTAATCAATCATGAGCCTAGACTCAGCCTAAGCAACTCCCCACGGTGCTCTGGAGGCCTCTGCTGTGGACTGGAGATGGCCTGTAATGCAATGGACTTGCTGTCTGGATTTTGTGTCCCCAGAGGGCTCTCCATCTTGCAAGTTCCCTGAGATCACGATTTAATGCAGCCTTCTCTGAGGTCTGCTTGGTACTAGACTTTGTTCTGGACACTGCCCTAAGCAAGCTGTGCCTGCCTGGGAGGGCAGGACTTCAGGGACAGCCCTACAGGACAAAATAGCATAGGGACCACAGGGGAAGCCTAATGGCTACAAAGGTCCAGGGGAAGGGGAATCTGGGGACAGAAGACTTCTGGAATCTGGCCACTCCATTGCTAAGCAAACCACTCACACCTAGCTGGGCTTACAGGACAGAACAGAGATGAGCAAGGGTTTGGTCTCTGTCCAAGGTGCTGAACCCCTCATCTGGGAGAACTGAACACTGCCCTCCTGCCAGGGGTGGCAAGGGAAAAGGGGCAGCAGAGTCCAGATATTCCAATGGTCTTGGAGCTTATAGGGCCGTAACAAATGCATACCCCTTGGCCCACCTCCTCCTTCCTCCTCCAGGATGTGAAAGGCAGCTCCATGTAGCTGGGGCTGTTCCCAGGGGGATGTGACATGTGGTGTCAAAAGACCACCGTGCCCTGAAATCAAAGCAGTATGGAGGAAGGAGGAGAAGCTCTGGGGGGGCAGAGTGGGGAATGAGATATTCCCCTTCTCCCCCTCCATCACTGTCCCCCTGACCATCACTCCCCCACCCAAGGCATGTCATTGTCCTGCCTTCCAGCCAGGCATGGTGGCGGGGGAAGGCCTGGACAGGAAGAAGGTGGGCTGGATGACCCAAATCACATCCTCACCACTTCACCAGCTATGTGGCTGAGGAGCCTGGTTTTCCCTCTCTGGGCCTTGCCTCTCCATCTGAGAAATGGAGCCATGAAGCTACCCACCTCCCAGGGCTGGAGGGAAGGGGGCGGTGGCGATGGGAGATAAGCACATCTTAAAGCAGGCGAAGCCCTTCTCGTGCCCTTCAACACGCATCCATGCCATTGTTCTCGCCACAACCCTTGGAGGCGGGGCTGTTATCGCTCCTGCTTTACAGTTGAGTAAACTGAGGCATGGGCAGGGAAATGACAAGGTCACATGATACGCAGCCAGGACTCAAACTCAGCCTTCTGGCCCCAGAGCCTGACCTCTGCCCTGTTCTCTCCAGGGTGGGGAGCAGCACAGGGACCGGGGAGGGGCCGGGAGTCACCAGCACACCCTCGCCCAGCTCCTCCCTTCCTCTCTCCCCCCTTTCCTTCCATCCAGTGGGATGAGAGGCCCTGGGTGCACACCCCTGCAGCCTGCCCCACAGCTGAGTCCTGGGGAGTCACTTATCGCTGCACCTCACTCTTGTCTCCTCCGAGCATCAGTACACTACTGTAAAGGACACCGCCCCCTCCCTGGCCCTACCTCTGTCTTTGGATTCCAGTAGGCACTTAATGTGTGCCCTGCATCTGGGGCCTCAAAGGCAGGGGTGCCCTGCCCCTGCCCACCTTGTCGTTGATCAGCAGCTCCATGGGCTCGTGGCCGGCCTCCAGCAGCACGACCTCGTTGGCCTGCCCGGGCACCGAGTAGGAGAAGGGGGTGCCCTGGCCGGTGCCACCCGATCTGGACCGCAGCCACATGCAGGCGGTGAAGGCGTAGAGCTCGGGCAGCGCCTTGCGCACGCGGGCGTACATGTAGTTGTTACGAATCGGGATGCTGATCTTGAAAGGCGTCCGGGGGGCTGAAGGCTGAGGACCCTGCGGGGGGCATGGCAGCGTCAGAGGACACTCTAGAACGAGGGTTGAGGATCAGCAGCTCCTAGACACCTGGGGTGTGTCAGGTGTCTTCACCACCTCCTCTACTCTGCCTCTGGGCTGAGGGGCCTGGCCAAAGCCCCTCATTGAACTTGAGATGTCCTGAGTTCAAACCCTGCGTCCACTTCTTCCTGGCCGTGTGAGCTTCAGCGAGTTAAGCAGACTGTGGGCCTCAGTTCCTCCCTCCCAGGGTTTGAGACTTGAGTGGTCAGAATATATAAAGGACCCATAGCAAATACCCAATACATGTTCAGTTAGCTGTATTACGATTATTTAGAGCTCTGTCTACTTAGGACGCATTCTGCAGTGCTTTCTGTGTGGCAGGCACTGTTCTAAGAGCTTTTGCGTACATTAGTTCATTCCTCTTAAGAACCCTACCAGGTAGACACTGTTTCCGTCCTCATCTTATAGAGGAGCACACTCTGGCACAGAGAGGGCATATCCTCAAGCCCACACGGCCAGTCAGTGGCACAGCTGGGACGTGGACAAAACAGTCTTGGGACTCTGTGATCTTCAGGGTGTCTCCACCTCAGAGTTTCTGGGATTCTGTGTTGTGAGCAGTGGGAGTAAACTGAGGATGGAAAAGCCTGCCATACACAACTCCATGGGCACTGCTATCTACCTGTCTCTTCCCGCAGCTGGACTGTGGACCTGGGCTCCAGTCTGGATGGGCTTGGGGTGAAGGCCAGTGTGACACATGGTGACAAGAGGGGAAGGGGCTCACAGTGATTCTCTTTAAATCCAGTTCATAGATGAGCTCAAACCCCAAGAGGGAAGGTGACTTGTGCGTGGGACACAGATGTCCCTGCCCTGCAGCCCCGTGAGAAGGCATCGCTCCTGGTTGCTTCAGGAGACCCAGTGTGGAGGGACCAGTGGCAGGACTGAGTGAGGGTGGAGGCTGCCACTACTGTCCATACACTCAATCCCAAGTACCACCCCAGAGCTCACCAGGCCTGCTGCTCCCATGTGGCTGAACTTGAGATGCCCTGCTGTGGCCCTCCACTCTGAAATGGGCTCTCCGCCTCCGCTTTCAAGAACTAGTGCAAGGCCACCTCCTCCAGGAAGCTGCCTGGATTTCCCTCTCCTGAATGCCTATCCAGCATCTAAGCCAGTCCCAGCTAACTGCTGTTTCCCCGGGTCCCCTAACTTGCCCTCATGAGATTTCAAAGTCCAAAGGTCTGAGACAGAGCTGATGAATCTAAACCCCCACTTCTCAGATGAGGAAGAATGAGGCCTGGAAAAAGGAGTGACCTTCCAAGGTCACCAGGCAAACTAGTAACAGATGTGGAACCTGGAGCCAGACCTCCTACACCCAGACCTGCACACTGTCCACTACACTTCTCTTCCCCCTTTGGGAGTGTTAAACGCTCCCCTAGTCCCAAGTGTTAAACAAACGAAAAGAGTCCTGAAGGTGGTGTTTGTGTGTGGTGACACGCACACTTCTGGGGCCAGACCACGTTGTGTGGAGGTCCAGAGCCCATGCTTATTGGCTGTGTTACCTTGGGAAAATCACTTGACCTCTCTGAACCTCTTTCTTCACCCATGAAAACCCCCATGAAGGTTAAACCAGAGTCACACACGGCCCACTCCTGGGACGTGGCAGTGCCAGGAAATGGCAACTGCCAACAACAACCTTGATGATGACGATCACCTCCCCCAGGCAGGCGCTCCCTCCATGCTCCACAGCCTCTGGAAAGCGCGAAAAATTCTCCCCAGGACCCACCGTGCTCCAGCTCGGCCACGCGGTCCTGCAGGGCGTCCAGTTCCTTCTCCACCTCCTGCCGCTGCTGGTGGCTGCCGTGACTGAGCGCCACTCGCTCCTTCTCCAGCGCCAGTACCTTGGCCAGCAGCTGGCCCTCCAGCTCGTCCATCTTGGAGTGCAGGGTGGTGGGCAAGGCAGGGGCTGGGGCTGGCACACCTGAGAGGTTCACGCGGGCCGGGAGTTCCTGCTGCTCCCAAGAGAGAAGGAGGGACTGGTGAGGTCACATGGAGGCCACTGAGAAGCTACTGTCCCTGCTGAGCCACCCTAGGTGATCCTGGCTTCTTGTGTGCAAAGTGAGGAGGGTGAAGCAATGGCAGGCACCCACACAGCCTGCACACAGAGTGAAGGAGGATGGGGAGTGTTGTCCCTTTACTGACACACAGAACCGTCCAGCTAGGAAGGACGGGGACAGTGGTGCTCATTACACACACAGAGCCTTCACAGCCCTCCATGGCCCAGCCTGCCTTGGACTGGGTGTTTGTGGCTACCCAGGATGCATCCATGGCCTCAGCTGGCACTGCCATCCCAGGTCACAGGGCATAGCTGGGTCCTCTGGAACAGAATATGGCCTTTCCATATGGCAGTGTGTGATTAAGATCCCAGACTCTTGAGTCAGATAGCCCAGGCTCAAATCCAGCTTGGGAACCAACCTGCTGTGTGACCTTCAGAAAATCTCTTGACCTCTCTGAACTCAGCTCTCATGAGACAGACAATTGCACGTATTTGAAAGGGCTGTGGGAAGGATGAAGTGGCAAACACTAACAAACAGAGCCTGCTTATTGCAGTTATGGCCTAGGACAGGTGACCCAAGGTGGGTTTGATCCCCCCGCCCTGTCATCTAGCCCGGGATGGGGACAAAGTGCTTAGAGGCCCTCCTTTCCTGTGCTAAGCTCTATGCAGGCAAGAAAACTGGGGCTGGAGCCAGGGACCTCGCCTTGGTTCTCCTTCTGGGGTAGAGGGAGGCAGGTGAGGCCAAAGATTGAGGCTCCAGGAGGGGACAGACTCTGGTGGATCCTCATGTGAATGTCGGCAGACGAATAATCCAACAGGCTTCGAGGAGCCAAATCAGGCTTCACCACCCCCCGGGGCTTGCTTCCTCTCCCACAGTCCACAGACAGGTGACAGGCCAGATGCTTCTGCACTCCTCAGGCGCCGGCCAGTGACCCTGGGGCCGCCGGCTTAGGGCCCAGACAGCTCAGTGAATTCTCCCCATTCAGTTGCCAGGCAAATGTCCAGCGAGCACCTACCCTGTGGTGGGCCCTGCGAGGCACTGACCTCAGAGCTGAAGCCCAAGCAAGAGTCTGCCGTTCAGAGAGCCGAGGCGCTGCCGCTGCGCCCCGGGACTCTCAGTCTCGGTGGTCCAGCCGTGGCCTTGCTGGTGACATTGGGCACCTCTAAGTTTAACCTTCCTTAAGCTGTTTCCTAGCCATATAACAAGGGGACAAGGGGACAATGGGAGAGGGACTGATATTCAGCTCTGCTCTGCCCATGGTGGACAGGGCCAGGTGGGTCACTCCCTGGTATTATCACTCCTTGCCTATAAAATGAAGCCTTGCAATGGCCAGCTCACAGGGCCATAGCCAGGGAAAGTGATGGCGTGCTGGGGGCCTGCTCCTCAGCCTGGCCAGGGTGGGTGTCCAGAGGTTGGCATCCGGCTCACAGGGCAGGCAGGAAGGTGCGAGTGGGTCACTGTCGGCTGCAGTCTGAACCCCAGCTGGCCTCATGCCAATGTTTGTTCACTCACAGGGTCTATCCCACAAGGAGGGTAAGGGTGAGGAGTCACTGGCCTTGTGGCTCCTCTTGGCATCTGCCCCTGAGCTCTGCTGAGTGGCTTGTAAGGAAAAGGGGAGGTTGCCTCAAAGGGCTGGTATGGGGTGGGGGGTCTAGCCCCAGGTGACTCAGTCCTCTGCCTCCCTCTCGCTCTGTCTGGTGGTAGTGGGGCGGCTCGAAATGGGTCAAAGAAATACAAATCATGAGACTAACCTGGGGAGACTCCAGGAGGCAGTGGGGTGGGGGGGGTCTCGACCACTTTCATCCCCCCACATCCCCTGCCAGAGCCTGTGTGCTCGTGCCACAACCTACCTCGTTCCACTCATCTTTGCTGTCCTGAGGGCCCCTCGCCCCCAGGACACCTCGACACCCTGGCTCTGAAACAGACTGAACACAAAGCCTCCGCTTCTTCGCTTGTAAAATGGGACCCCAGGCCTCCCTCTGCCTGTCGCCAGGACAGATGGAAGGAAAGAGAAGTGGCAGGGTCTGGGGAAACACCCTGCTAACTGTGAGGCCAACTGACCTGGAGCTCACTCCCTGCAGTTGTCCTTCAACGACCCGGAAGGACAGGACCAGCCCCCCACTGAATTTGAGCTGCCAGACTTCCAAGAAGCCTTGGACTGCTGCAATTAGCTTACAGGGTAGTCCTCCTAGGGGCCAGAGAGGATTGTGGTGGGGTCTCCCTAATCACCTCCTCCCATCCCCACTGTCTCTGGGTCATGCCTGGCGTGAGGGGCACCAGCTGAACAGCTCCCTGGGCCAGGCCCATCCTGGGTATTTACACGGCTCTAACAGCCCCTCATTGAAATCAGTATTCTCAACATTCCACTTTCGCAGCTGGGGAAACTGAGGCAGACTCTGTCACTGTCTGACAGCCCTGGAGGGGGTCCTTTCTCTCTAGCCAGCATCCCCTGCTTCCCCTCCTCCCTGAGCAAGGGGTGGAGGGGGAGCCCGCCGAGAATTGCAGGACAGGCAGGGCTAGTTACATGGCAAGTTTAGCTGCGGCCTTCCGGGGACACGTGAATGTGTGCAGGCTGGGGGAGGCGCACAAGCTGTCCCTTTGTCAGAGCACAGAGAGGAGGGGCTCGACGCCCCCCCCCCACTCCAGTATCTGAATCAGAAGAATGCAACGCCCCCGCCCTGCTTCCCATCTGCTGCGGGTGCAGGCTGTGCTGTGTGGGCTCCAGGCCTGGTGCCAAGTGGGCCCCTGGATTGAGATCGAGGGGGGTGATGACCATACCATCCCCCCACTCAGCTCTTGATGGGGCAGAAAAGTGGGGGCTGGAACCCACGCCTGGCACGCTGGGATTTGAGGTGGAGCTTAGTTAAGTACCTGGTCCAGAGTTCTAGACGGGGCTCAGCTGCTAGTGTGCTCCTCTGCACTCATCACCAACACCACCTACAGCATGGCTTCCCCGAGTGCTGGGCCCTGCACTCGGTACCCCAGAGTCGCTGGGAAGCTTTTCTCCACTGCTCTCTAGCGCCTGGGAGTAAGACGCCCTCTTCACACAGCTGTGAAGTCACAGGGCCGAGACTCTGTGCGCATCCCCGAGTCCAGCCTGACAGTCTGGGTCTCCGCTTGGTGACCTGCTAGGTAGGCCAGTGCTGGATGCCCTGTCTGCCTGAAAGGCTGGCAGGAGCATTTGGGCGGCCGTGAGAAGGCTGGGAAGGTCACAGGCTGTCACTCGTGGTGTGGCAGCCTCACAGAGGGGCCAGCCAGGGTGGGGTGGCTGAGGTGGGGAGAGCGTGGCTCCACCGGCTGGGTGACCTGGTTATATGAGGTTGCCGTGCCTCGCTTTCCCCATGGGCACAACTCTCAATATGACTTCTGAGCATCGTGGTGAAGATTCAGTGAGCTTCCAGGTGCGAGGCCCAAGGAGCAGCCGAGCTGTGGAACTCCAGCCACCGTCCTTACGACCAACACGACTTCAATGTCCTTTGAACTGGCTCACCGTGCGCCACTTTTCGGTTGATTCGTTATATTGGGAGGAAAGTGAATTACAGGGCAGGAACGTGGGTTAGATAACTTTCTAGAGCAGCTGATGTTCCTGGATAGGAGGCTAAGGCTATGGGGAGGACGGTCACATCAACAGAAAGGCCAGGCTGGGGCCAGCAGGACCACGGTCCCTAGTTCATGGGGGAAGGGGGTAGGGAGTTGGGGAGGCTCTGAGGGGCCTCAGGTGGTTGGGAATGTTTGATCTTTGAGTCTAGGTGGGGACCTGGTGGCATCCTGGCACATTTTTGCTCATATGAAATACTTTACAGTTACTTAAAAACAACAGAAAAGATCTCAAAGCGCACTATAATGGTTAAACTAACTCTGAAACTTCTGTAGCTTCCCTCACCCTTTCTGCCTGTCCCCAGCACAGGCTGTGCCCCTCCCGCCAACTTTATGACTTCTCCATACAGCAGCCAAGCTTTCCTGCTTAAAATCCTCCAGCACCCCCTACCCCCACCCCCAATAAAGTCCCTGTCCCTCTGGCCTCAGCCCTCACTACTCGACTTGTCCCTAGCAGGCTGCAGGCCACTCCCACCGCTAGTCCCCAGCTGCCCCAACACGCAGGCACGGAACTCCCTCTTACCCCCAGGCTCCCGCACATGGTGTTCCTTCTACTAGGAACATTCTTCCCAACCTTCCCCAGGTGGCAGCTTCCCTGATGCCTGAGCTACGACCTTCCAGGGAGAGCCAAGGACTTCCCTGGGGGGCTGTCCTGTGCCCGCTCGATTATTCATTCATTCACCCATCAACGTGTCCCATGGCAACAGGGTGTCACAGTATGAACACTGACACATCAGAACGATCTGCTTCATTTCTAGACCACATTTACTAGATCTGTGGTCTTGGGCAAGTTGCTTGACCACTCTGGCCCTCAGTTTCCTCCTCTGTAAAATGTGGGTAACGATAGCAGCTACATTTTGGGATGGAAGTAATGATACAATGAAGAACAGATGTACAGTCTGCACTAAGAAGTGGAGGTGAACGGCACACCAATTGTCACTCTGCTGTATTGCCAGGCAGGAGTGCCAGGTCTGGAGCTTAAGGAAAAGGCCAGCTGAGTGCCTGCGATGGGTTTCTGACATCTCTGAGCCTCCTTGGGGTCCTCATCTGGGAAGAAGAGAAAATTCGCATGGTGGAATCCAGTCATAAGGCCCTTGGGCAGCCCTGGTACAGAAGTCTGCTCAGCCCTGCGGCCTGTACTGAGCCTCAGGTGCTGTGACCCAGGGTGGAGAGGCCCTGCTCTTGCCACCAGGGTGTCCTCGTGGCAGAGAGGCATGCTGTGACAGCCACAGCCCTGGGTGTGGAGCGTTGGGTTCTGCTCAGATGGAATGGGAGGGCCCACAAAAGCCTCTCGGAGGAGCCCAGGTCAACCCATCCTGTTGTCCTGCCTTCCAGCAGAGGGCCAGCTGGCTCTGTCC